ACAGATTCCTACTGCAGAGTAGTTTTAGCACAGGGTGTCCTGAACAGAGGTAAACAGAATCTCGAGCTTCTCTGTGGGTTTTCATTTGATTTAGAGCTCTGTGGTTTAAAGGAGTATCCTCAAGGATGATTGAATTAGGAGGAGTGACAGTTAACATCAGACTCAAGGACAGACAAAGAGGTTTCCTGTTATCTGTCTGATTTATTTAATTGCAAATAATCCTCAAATTCTTCATAATAGCAGCGCCTTTGTATTCTTGGCAGGTGTTTGATCCCTCAGATAAACTAATCATTTCCAACACAAGTGAAGGACTATTGAAATAACTGTCAGATTATGGACACACCATGAAAAAGGGGGATTCATTTTCCATGATTCTGACATGAAGTAATTAAAGCCTTTGATTTATCTTGATCCTCTTCCTCCTTGTTGCCTTTTTTGCCTCTTCTCTGACTTGCTTTCACTCTTCCGACTAGTAGATTTGGCCATGCTGTGATCTTACTGTGCCTCCAGGCCCTCAGGTTATTTGGATATTGTGTGGAGTCAGAGCTTTGTCAATCAGATAAGCAGTGACCTTGCAGACCTAGCAGATAAGACGTTACATGGCAAGAGGAAATGGCAGCCAGCATGGGACACAAGGCTCGACTATGAATGCTCAGTGAAGCGACACTGATCACAGCTGTTCTGTACAAGAATGAAAATATATTACTTGTGCCTTTTGTAATTTCCAATTTATAGTGACTGATCTGATTTGGACCTTGCTGACAAGTGCTTGTCTTATTATCTGTTGAATAAAATCCCTGCAAGGTATTACAAGTTTGACTAAGAAAACAATGACTGGAAAAGGAAACAGCCTTGTAGAATTTTATATTAAAGGCCAATATTATGGGATTGTGATCATTAGCCATTAAATTTTTTGTACCATCTTTTAAAATACCAAAATTTAAAATGGGTTACATCAAATCCGAGTATTTTTAAACAGCTACAAAAAACACAGTCCCGATAGTCACAATAAATGACTTGCACATAGCCATTTCAACTGCCATGGAGTCACTGAGTTTGTAAGGAATAACACAAACTTGCCACTCATTCCATTGCACTGAGAAATTACAAAAGGATGAATGAGGGGCAGGTCTTTGTCTAGGACCGCAGCTTTGGGTGGTCCACAGGTTGGAAGCCCTCTGGGAGGGATCAGGCAGACCTCCACGTATAATGCCAAGAAGACGACTGTTATTTTTAAAGGGTACACACTAATTTAAAGGCATCTTTGCCACAGCCCAGAGTTCGTTTTTGTTTGAAAATTATTTTTTCCACAAAGCTATTACTTTGCTTTTAACCATAAGTAAATAATTGTAAGTGATTTTTGGAAAAATAATCTGGTTTTAGCCAATGTCTGACTAACAAAACCTCAGATTCATTACATATATAAAAGCATGCAATGTCTCTCCACTGTGAAACCCAAGAGAAATACCAAAAATACACCATAACACAATATAATCTATTGATTTAAATAACAAATACATAAGCCACACGATAATCTTTGAAAATGTTTGCTGAGCCTATACTCATTTATTTCAACACTCTGCTTCATATTCACACACATTTAGGTCTGGGAGCTGCCCAGGGCAACCACAGTTCTCTGCTGCTGGGGCACTGAGCTGATGGTTCACTTCTTTTCTCAAGAGACCCTTGATGGATGTTGTTCAGCAAGGGAAGAGAAATACCCATTCACCCCCCTAACTGTCTAGGAGTTCAAGCACTTCACTCACAAGCTCTCCCAAATAAAAGGGTTACCACTAGAAATATCAGACAAGTAAAGCCAATTACACTCACTTTAGCTGTTGTATAAGTTCATGGCATAAAGGTTTCCAAACTAATTTCCTCAGTGAGCATTAAGTACAAATTTTTGTCTGCAGTGGTGGTATCAGCCCACCCTCCACGATGCCTGAGTACTGCAGTCAGAGGATTCAGGTTACAAGACCTACCGTGTTCTGCATGTAGCTGTTGATTGTGGTTTAACACATGAGACTGTGGTGTTTTCCCCACACTTCAACTTTTCTCCTGGGACGCCTTAAGGTATTGTACCACCATACCAAACTTTCCCCCATGTCAATCCAAAGGCAGGCTTGAAATGTTCCAACTACATACGATACATGGCTGCATAAAAAACTGCAGTCTTCATGAGTCCGTTATCAAGTACATTCCCGTGTCCAATCAATAAAACACTAACTCAGAAAACTCAGTAATTTAATGTACTAACTTGACTAAGTTACCAAGGCTGTTTGTGTCAATACTTTATATAGACCAACTCAAGAGTCAGGACCCCCTAAGTCAATTTGCCAGATACAAAGACATCTTTTCAGAAGCTTCAATAACTCTGAATGTATAAATGACATTTACATATGTGATGTTAAATAGACAGAGATCTATTTAATCAGCAGCAAATCAGAAGACCTGAAAGCCTGCAGACAACTAAATCAATTGTGTGACTGCAGCACCCTCTATTGCCAAAAGTGGAGACTAACTTATGAATGAATGCTTCCTAGACTGAGCTCGAAGACTATCCCTGGACAGTCTGTCACAGGGCTAACACAGAAAGACAGACAAACATTCACACTGTCATTCACACTTATTGACAATTTAGAATAATTCATTAACCTAATCCCCACATGTCTTTGGACTGTGGGAAGAAGCCTGAGTACCCTGAGACAACCCATACAGACATACAGGAGAGTGCATGCAAACTCCACACAGAAAGGCTTCAGCTAATTGGTGGATCCAAACCCAGAGAATCTTTTTGCTGTGAGGCAACAGTGCAAAAATAAGCTGAGTTGAGGGCAATTACTCTTCCATTTCTATCTTTCTATAAGTATCCTTACTGGCCGATCTTAGTTGGTGGAAATTTTTAAGCTGTTAATACACTTTTAATGTTAAAGAATTTAGGATTCTAGTGACAACTAATCAGAATCTTTAAGTAAAAATCTGACTTAGCCATACACACATTTTAAATCACCAGAGAGACTAGTGGCATTTTAAAGACGGTTTTTGGTGTACTGTGTTTGACCATTAAGTCAAACACAATACATACAGGAGAGTTTTACTTTAACTACTCTTTATATGCTTTATTTAATGCTTGCTTATGGCAGTTTCCCTCAATTAAGGGAGGTCTGCCGAGTTTTGAGCCACTCTGTCTGGGAAGCAAGAGCCTTCAAGCACCTCTACAGTTAGTGGAAAAAGATCCTCGCTACAGGTGGGTTGGACTTAAAATGATCTGTGAGGATTTTAACATGAACGTCCATTTCTGTTATCTCGGTGACAAAGTTTACTAAACATTACACTCCTACTACCATTTGGAGACAGATCCTGGATGTTCTAGACATGTATCGCTTATGTTTAGCTAAAAATGTTACTAGCCTCTTTTTCCATTACCATGTGTCCATTGCTTGACTATTTCAACTCATTTTAATTAATCATAATTACAACCATTTTCTGTAACCTTTAACTTCATAATAACACAAATACTCACTGGTCACTTCATTAGGTACACAAATCTAATCAGCCAACTGGTTAGATATTTGAATGTCAATGAATTTCAATGCATTTAGAGATGTAGAGATGGTCAAGCTCACCTACATTAGTTCAAACAGAACGTAAGAAAGGGGAAGAAAGATTATTTAAATTTGACAGTCTAGTGTGAGTATTTCAGAAGCTGCCAGTCAACTGAGATTTTCTTACACAACCATCTCTAGGGTTTATAGAGAATGGCCAAAAAAAGAAAAAGAAAAAAAGTCTGTAGCCCTGCGACAGACTGGCGACCTGTCCAGGGTGTACCCCGCCTCTCGCCCTATGACAGCTGGGATAGGCTCCAGCGCCCCCCGCAACCCTGAAAAGGATAAGTGGAAGCGAATGGATGGATGGTCTAAAAGAGAGAAAATATCCAGTGAGTGGGAATTCTCTGGGTGAAAATGTCAGAGGCTAAAGGAGAATGCTGAGTTGATGGGAAGGAAACAGTGACTCAAATAACCATTTGCTACAACAAAGGTATGTATCTCTGAATGCACAGCACATCAAAACTTAAAGCAGTTAGGCTACAGCAGCAGAACACCACACCAGGTGTCACCCCTGTTAGCTAAGAACAGGAAACTGAGGCTACAATATGCATGGACTCACCAAAACTGGACAACAGAATAATGGAATGGAATAATGTTGCCTGGCCTGATGAGGTGAATTGAACTCAACTGAGAAATTAAGTCTCAATTGAGATGGTAGAGTCAGAATTTGGCATAAACAACATGAAAGCATTGATCTGCCATTGTATCAATGGTTCAGGCTGGTAGTAGTGGTGTAATGCTGTGAGGGATATTTTCTAGGCAAACCTTAACCTCCTTAATACCAATTAAACACAATATAAATGTCCCAGCCTTCCTGAATAGTGTTGCTGTAACTGTACCCATATGGACTCCACTATTACTAAATCTTAATCCAAAAGCACTAATAAAATTAGGTGGAATGGGAGAGTAACACTAAGAATGTGCAGCTCACAAATCTGCGGCAACTCTCAGATGTTATTATGTCAGTATGTACAACAGTCTCTAAGATCTCTAATTTCTAATGTTTCCAGTATCATATTGACTCAGACAAAAAGAGTTAAGGCCGTTCCGAAGGTTAAAGGGAGTCCAATTTGGTACTAAAAAGTGTACTTAATAAAGTTGCCAGTGAGCGTACACGTCTTTCTGACAGTTTAGCTAACAGATGACTAGTTTACTTTCAGCCACGTATTTCACCATTTTATTAGTATTATCTTTAGTTTTTAAGCCTTTTCCCACACTCTCATGCCCTTATTTAAATAATATTTTTTTCATAACAATTGTGGTTTTTTTATGTTTCCATTGGGAAAAAAATCGGCGTTTGCTCCCACTCGTTCTTTAAGTCATTATTCTTTTATTGTCCTTATTTAAAATTCGTTTTTCTCCTATTCCATTTCGCAGCTCCCCGCCTCAACTTAACACCACCACAGCCACTTCCGGTTTACCCGGAACTTAGCATAAGTCCCAAAGATGGCGGAGCAAGGTCCGATGGCCATAGCGATGCGGCTACGAAATCAGCTACAGTCCGTTTACAAACTGGACCCACTGCGAAACGAGGTGAGTATTGGTGTTACTTGAGCTCGTCCTCACAGAGGGGGGAAGGTACCGAGCGTCGAAGTGTAGCAAGGGGGACTTAATCCCACGTATTAGCGGCAGATCGTTGTCGCCTCCGCGGCGCTGATGGAGAGAGAGGAGAGCGATGCTGCTGAAGCGCTGCGAGGAGAGACGTGCTTGAGCATGCGTAGAGGGCATGAGTGCGATCGTGTTGTTTTGTAGAGCAACGTGCTGAAACCTTTTCAACTAACTGTTATTTTGCTTTTTCCAGAGCACACATTTAGCACTTATTCTCAGTTCAAGTTGGGTTTTTTTTGTTTATTTACATTTAATTCAAGCCTTGTGTGAGTGAAGTGGGGCGGTAACGATCGTTGCACTCCGTGGGTTCTTTCTCGTTGTGTAACGAAGTAACGGCTCTCGTTTCGAACTGCTGTTGGTTTGTGGTTGATTTGATCGTACGCAGTTGTTAGTAAGAGAACGCTTCGTTGCTTTTACTCGATTTTCAATGTTTCATCGCGATGCTGCCCGTAGTTTCCACCAAATCTGTGCAAAAACGTGACAAACATCATTCCACTTTTCTATTAAAATGTCCCCCTTTGTTTCAGTTTAACCCATGTTTTGTATCAATATTCACCGGCGCCACTAGTAGGAAAACTTTCTTTTGTTTTTGTTCGGTTCGTGGGTCTTTCCCACAGAGGTCAAAGGTCAGGGTCAGCTTAGCGCAGCACCTCTCTGAGCTGGACAAACCCGTTTTCATGTTTGACTACTTGAGCAAAACACAGACACTTGTCTACAGGGATGAGTTATAAAAAAGTTCTTGTTAAATTCAGCTTTAAACTCCGAGTTTTCATACATTTAAAAAAAAATGGCACCCACTAAAGAGCCTTTTCCATTCCAAAGAAAATCTTCAGTACTGCACCTTTCTAAGTTTTTTAAATATTAAATTTACTGAAACTTAAACAAAAATGTCTGCTAAAAATATAGCAAAACCCACAAAAACTGTATGTAGATCAACTGGGCTTAAGTGCAGAATCACCATTCAAAGGCCCATTGTGCGCATGGATATAAAAACAGTACAAGTCTGAATGCTCGACCTTTGCAGTGACCGCATACTATGACTCCACAGGAATTGTGCTGTAGGGGACATTTTAATTTGGTCTCTGTTGTTCCTTTAGAAAGAGGGGAATACACTGCACTACAAAGTTGTCCTTAATAGTCTGTTACCTTTATCTTGTGAAAATCCCAGCTCCTTCAGATTTTTAAGTAAGCTTTCTAGTTTGATAGTGCCTTCATCCATAGCTCTCGTTATTTAAATGCAGAGTTTCTTTTTATGGCCTTTTGCTTGCTTTTGCCAGCAGTCCTTCTCTCATCCCTATTTTTCCATGTTCTTAGTTTAAATCCAGAGGCAATCATAATTTTGATTTTTGTACATGTAGTGCCTAAACTATGGAACAGCCTTCATCAGACCAACAACTCAAATGAATCAGTGGTTTATTTGTTTTGTTAAACACTGGCCATGTGCCCTTTGCCTTTGGCTATATTTCACAGCAGTGTTTTCACTGGAATTATACCCTTACTGTTTTGTAAGTATAATTCTACTACGGGTATCACAATAACCATTACATTCAAAGAAATTAGACATCAATGTTGTGACATAAATGCATAAAAGCAGTGTTTTTGTACTTTTATTTTGACTTTAAATATTTCCCATAAATGACACAATTCATACATACATAATAAGCAAAGATTTGTACTTTGTGACATAGGGCCTTTTCCTACTGGACCACATCCAGCCTAAACCATTGATACAAGGCAGGATGGATCCATGCTTTTGTGTTAGTTACACAATGTCCAGTTTTATATCCTGCTCTTAGCTGAAAATAGTGGCACCAGTGTGGCCATCTGTTGGTGTAGCCCATCTGCTTCAAGGTTTGACATGTTCAGAGATGCTCTTCTGCATACCTTGGTTTCATGAGTGATTCGTTGTCAAAGCAGTCTGAGGCATTTTCTCTTTTTCGGAACATTGTCTATAAACCCTAGAGATGTTTGTGTGTGAAAATCCCAATAGAGTAGCAAAATACTCAGTCCAGTCCTTTTGGCAACAAGAACCATGCCATATTGAAAATCACTTCAAGTCATTTTCCCCCTCCATTCTGATACTGGGGTTTAAATTTAGCAGGCTCTGTTGACCATGTCTGCATGCCTAAATTTCGTGTTGCTGCCATATGACCTGCTAGATATTTGTGTAAACAAGCAGTTCCACCTAACAAAGTAGCCAGCTTGTCAAAACACTTTCTTTTTGTCTCCACAGGAGGAAGTGAAGTTGAAGATCAAGGACCTGAACGAACACATTGTCTGCTACCTTTGTGCAGGCTACTTCATAGATGCCACAACAATAACAGAGTGTTTACACACCTGTGAGTGTTAACAGAGCCAAATGATCATTTATTCTAATATCATTTGCTGCCAACAGCCTTAATGCCGTTTCACAGGCACTATTAAACTGTCTGTTATCAGCATAATGTGAAGAAAATATCTCTGTTTCTTTTTTTCCTCTACAGTCTGTAAAAGTTGTATCGTAAAGTATTTGCAAACAAGCAAATATTGTCCAATGTGCAACATCAAAATTCATGAAACACAGCCGTTACTCAACCTCAAATTGGATCGAGTGATGCAAGACATTGTCTACAAACTGGTGCCTGGATTACAAGAAAGTATGTAAACAAAACTGCTCTCTACTATTTGCTAGTTATAGTTGGAGTCGGTTAGTTTTTCTAGGCACGTGTGCTTGTTTTGCACCTGCCAAGCAAGTGAATGCTGGAGTAATAACCAAATGAAAGCATCCTTTAACAGAATGAAGTTTTTAAGTGATGTAGGCTGTTCTTATGAGTTGCTGCCTTTCACATTTGAATGATTTTCTTAGTAAAATCCTTTGTTGTGTTTGCTTAGGTGAAGACAAAAGAATAAAGGAATTTTATCAGTCACGTGGATTAGAGAGAGTCATTCAGCCTGCTGGAGATGGTAAGTCTTCATTTTATTCTTGCATCTGTCTGCATTATACAAAAAGACACTATCTGGAATCCAGTGCATTAATTGGTTGAATGCAAATCTTGCCATATTGACCAAGCTGTTATCAAATAATGCAGTGGTTTTGAATTAGTTAATGAGTGACTATGAGACTGATGTTTATCTTAATAACACAAATCTTACCTTTTGGCTGATATACTGGACAGAATTATGCCACACTGGCCACAGCTGCAAATTCTTTTTCAAGGTTATCATCAAATTTCAAGCATTTATGCTTTTTTGCAAGTCCTGAGCACCGTAGTCAGTTAGTGACAGAGGTGGTGATTGTCTGCCCTGAGTCAAACTGCACACAGCAAAAAGACCAGTGTTAAATGAACTCCCACAGAGTCATTTTCAACACTTTTTCGGGGTTTATATAGCTCCACACTCTTTAGAGTTAAATCAACATTTTTGAAATAGTTAAAATATTTAACACTGTGCCAGAGTTCATGTTTTAACTCTCAAAACAGAGTTAAAGTAACACTTTAGAGACTGAATAAGTGACTCTGCTGAGATACAGCTTTTAACCTTCTGGTTAGTGTTGGCTTCACTCCCTATAGTGTCAGGCTTTCTACACTGGAAAGTGTTAAAATTGCACACAATAAATTTTCCCAAAAAGGACATTTATTTTGTCATCTAAAAGTTGTTAAGAGGGTACAATGTACACTGTCTAATCTGAAACATTGTATGACCTTTGCATATCGAAAGGTTTATAAAACTTTATTTTTGACATTTTCACTATGCATCTCTCCTCAGTATGTACAACTCTGAATGCATATAGATGTACAACTCTGTAAACAACATGTTTCCCATAAAAAGATGACATCTCAACCAAAAGTAAATCACTTGTTTGGCAAAAGACAGGCAGGTCTTCTTCCACTGCACTGGAAATAACAAGTCCAGCTTTATATTATCTTGGGACAAATTAAACACAAAGTGTGCTTTGAAAAGTTCATCAAATGCTCCGAGTGAGTGGCTGCCTGGCATGGAATGAGATGCTTATCCATTGTGATGTAGAAGGTGTCAGTCTTGCTCTTCTGATGCCTGACAGCGAGGAGGTATGGTTGCCAACCATACCTCCTCTGGAAGAGCATCAATTGCAGAGATGCTCTTCCAGACTGCAGCATGACTGGGGTTGACATAAGGAAACTGAAAATTATTCACAGAAATGATGTCCAAATACAGAAATAAATAAATAAATGTAGAAGAGATTGCTCAAAGACATATTATTGAAATTTCATGATATAATTACCTTATGAAAGACTACAAGTCTCTGACTTGCATCACTTGCGCTGATTTTTGGACCTCTGTCCTCCTGGTAGTGGTGGAAGGAGATGTAACAACAACAACAACAACAACAACAGCGATGACATTTCTTGTTTAAAGGCTGAAGATGAAAAGACACAAAATTAATACAATTTCATCAAATGTACTGATCTGTTTTACAATGAAAACAGGGAAAGTTAAAGTTGAAAGTTGTAAAAAGTAGATCAATTTTTAGAGATACACAAGAAATTTTAAAGTTTTTTAAATTTAGTCAGTTAGTATGCATTTATTTGGCACAACTATAAAGAACACAACATACACTGAATACATACCCATGACTATCAATCATGTGAGCCACAAGTATGTTAACCATTTGTCATCTCGTGGCATCCTTCATGGTGTTTGTTGCTTGGTATTCCTGTATTTACTTCGTCACCACCAAACTTGCTTCTTAACACAGTTTCAATTAACTATTAAAAATGAAAAAACAAACAAAAAGAGAAAAATGAACATTGAGGAAAAACCTGGCAATAAGGAATCTTTCTAGGAACTTGAGAGGAAAAAACAAAGCACAAGTGTCAAGCTTTGTAGCAACCTGTTTAGCAAATACTGCAGCAGTATTGTTAACTCTGCATCTCTTGCATGGGACCTCATCTACGATTATAGTTGAGGCACGTGAGCTGAAGCTTGAGTTGGAGTCAGGCAACTCAGAAGCAGAAGACAGGTCAGGAAACACTAAAGAAAAGGAAAATGTCAAATAATTTGTTCAATTGAATATAAAGTGCTTGATTATACTTTTAGTGTATCTCACCATGATCGGTGAATACTGTTAACAGCACGTTGCCTTTATTTTTTTTTGCAGTTCTTTTGATGTCAAACTGCATGTCAAATTCCACAAAACATCAAACAATAGAGGGGCATTAATGCCAGCCTGAACCGTTTACGTTGGTTTTTTTCATCACTAACAGCTTGAATGTGATCTGTAACATAGATAGATAGTTAGAGGCTGTTAACAGTTTGCATTAACTCTTTATTGCCAGCGCCAATAGCTAGCATATTTTCTTTGTTTAAATCTTTTAAATGCACAAAATACATTTTATAGCACCAGTTTCTAACTATCTTTGTAAGTTTGACTTAATTCTACTTACCCTGTAGAACTGCATGCAGGTGCAAAATCAGTACTGTTCTTCCATGAGGCTCCAACTGATGAAGAAAAATGCCCGCACTGGGGGTGTCTGGGAGGGCTGGGCTTAACTTGAGTTCAAAATGAACTCTATACAGAGTTAAAGCTATTAAGTTAACTGATGACAGAGTTAACATTTTTAACCAACCTCTGTGCAGAGTTTCAGAATTTGGAATTTTCTCTTTTAACTCATTCACTGCCATTGACGTCTATAGCCGTCAATTGCAGTGAATGAGTCAATGGGTTTAACTCATTCACTGCCAATGGCTGGCAGTGAATGAGTTAAGAGTTAAATCAACAATGATGGAATACATTTTGTCAAATAACTCCAACATTGAGTACAATTTAAGTCAGAAAGTGTTTAAATCACACGTTGAGGCTTAAAATCAACTCTGAGACATTTACTGCAGCACATTTCAACACTCCAATTTTTGCTGTGATTGTCTTTTTTCTGTCTAGATGGTGTACCAGATGCTACAGTACCTTACACAAGCTTTGACCACTCAAAAGCTCACTTCTACAGATACGACGAGCAGGTTTCACTGTGTTTAGAAAGGTTAAGGTAGGCTGTACTTTTGCCTGTAATGGATTATCTTAAAGTGATCTGTGTGTACTTTTATAAAATATTTATTTGAGATAAGGCTGATAGAATGTAAATATGAAGGTGATTATATTAGTCTGCATGTTGTAAGCTATGAGGTTCAAGATAAACCTGTTTTAACAAAGCATGCATGTTTCAAAGCTCTTTATTTCTTGTGTTTCAGTTCATCACTAGCTGAAAAAAAAGATAAAACAAAGCTTACTCTTCAGGTAAGTCACTAATAAGCCCTGATAGAGTACCATAAAAGTACATCAGCAAGTCTTTTTACTTTGTGAGATTGTTAAGTGTTTATTATTGCTTTTAAAGTGGCCTCTTTCAAACATGTCTCCGGGGCACATTTTTTTGAAGCTTTTACAAGTTATTTCCACACTTAACTGTACAGCAAATACATGGCACAGTGACAAGTGCGGACATAGAAGGTCTGGTTTGTCTGGCTGCTGATGAAACATCACACTCACAGAGAGACAGGGATAAGTGGGAGAAATACACCAGTGAGGCATGTAATCATTCTTTATTTCCCAACCAAACTGCTTCTTTCTCAATAACTGGATTTTCGTAGTATCTTTGGCCCACGTATTGAAAGCGGAGGCTTAAGCTGTTGGGTAATGTTAGCAGTGGTTAGTGTTGAGGTCCTTATGTCAAACAAGCTGTGTTAACTCAAACATCACAAAGAAGTGTATCATTAAATAGTTGGAACTAATACATTGTTTTAAATTGCTTTGGGGACCAGATCTATTAATGTATACTTGTCAAGTTTTCGCTCTCTAAGTGCACAACCACTTACCCGTCGTTATGTCATCTATTCTTTGGGCCAAACCGTTTGGATTCATGGAAAATGAAGGCTGCTACTAGAATGGCTTCAATGGATCTTTGCTCTATATATATTTCGGACAGTGTTTCTCAAACCTGGAATGCTCAACTTTACAAGCAAAAAAACTATTATTTTATGCAGTAAATTGAAACCCACACTTACAGAAATGGTGAAATGTTCTTATTTCGTTTCAGGGGATTTCCTTTTGCTGGAAAGCCAAAACTTGTACTCAGCGTACTGTATATAGACAGGTCCATATATATTTGGACAGACAGTTTTTTTTTTTCTACTTTTGCTTCTGTACATTACAACAACGAATTTTAAATATATACATATATATTTAAATTTATACATACACAATTGTTATGTTTGTTGTTGTTGTTTTTGGTTGTGTACAGTGTCCTTGAGTGTTTTGAAAGGCACTTTCTTAAATGAAATGTATTATTATTATTATTATTATACATATATAAATACAGAATATACAAGTAAGCAATGAAATATACTCATTAACGAAATGTAGCAGCCAAATGTCTATTGCACAGTATTTCGACAATATGAAACATGGAAAAAAGAAAAATATATTGGTGGAAATGTTGCCTACTAAACATTTCCATATTTTGGTTTAATGGGTTAATTTTGATTGACAAATTTATTGAAGGACAGATGAGTACAAAGTAAAATGGAACTTATTGTCCAGTTCAGGTTGGGTATAAGGATTATTAGGGGATCCATTTAATCCAAACATGCTGTACATCATCGGCCCCCAACCTTTTTTGTGCCACGGATCGGTTTATGTGACGGGCCGGCCTTTCAGGTGTCGCAGATAAATATAACAAAATAAAACCAGTACTTGTACAAAAAAAAAAAGATTTATTCATAACACACAGGAAAAGACCCGGTAAACCAAGTTAACGATAAAAAATGATGACAAAAACCGACAAAACCCCCGAAACCCATAAATTTCACAGCCAAGCCTCAACTCTCGTGGCCCCGGGGTTGGGGACCGCTGCTGTAAATCATCAAAAGTGCAATGACTTGTTTCTCCAGCAGAGGGCACCATTGTTTCACAGACGTTCATGTGATACCAAAGCCATGCCCATTTCCTAAACTCTTCCACTTAAGAGGAGTTTGATTGGGAGAGTTAATTTTGATTTTGCATGGCTTCAATTTCATAATAAGGCAGATTTGGGCTTTGTTGTTTAGGTGTTTCATCACAACTTTTAGTATCGAAAAAATTTGTGACTATATTCAGTTGTACTTCACCCTGACCACTTTCTCACTACTCTGCATTTGCAGTCGTAGTTTGCGTTGGTTTTTTTTTTTTAACTGAGACGTGAAATAATTAAAGCAAATTTCTGAGTTCTACAAAAAGAACAGTAAAACTCACCCTGCTTTCGTGGGGATAAGTAAGTTTAGCACCGTGGCTTAAGAGTGTCGAATAAGTCAGTCGGGACTGGAAAATGTCGAGCAGGAAGCAGAATTTTTCTTCACTGTAAATCTAATTGTAACACGAATAAGCCACACCCTGGTGTTTCACTCCCATCTAATTTATCTTAGTTTATATTTCCTTAATACTTGAAATGTGCTTTTGTAACAAAACACGGTTAGAGTGGGTGAGACTGTACAAATGTTGATATTATAAACATTTTATTATTTTAAGGACAAAATGTAAGACCACTGTTAAGACAGAGGCGTGCTTTTCTAGCTTTACAGACAAATCTATAAATACTTTTTATAACTATTGGTATAAAACTTTGACTCAACCCTGCAACAGTTCCTCCATCAATACAAAGTGTGAGTGTTAAAGTCCAGAAGTTTAACTGAGCCCAGTTTATCAGTTTTACAGTTGTTTTTTTTTTTTAAGAAAAAGGTATAAATTTGACATATTTACCTTCAGAATAAACAAGAACAGTCCCTGAACATCTCCCCTGGGGTTATAGGAGGCTATGCAGTAAAATAAATGTGCAGCTGGCCATAATTTATTTGAATTATTTTCAGTTTGAACATATTAATGACTCATTATATTGCTTGTCTGAAGTTTTACAGTGCACTGTTTGACTTTATCTCTGCAGCAGAAGTTTGTTCGCTGTTCTGTTCGAGCAGAAGTGAGGCACCTACGGAAAGTGCTTTGTCATCGATTAAACGTAGAAAAACACCAGGTAAGTCAGCCATACTCTTTTATCTCATCAAACTGTAACATTACAATATTATTTCCCAGCATTTTTGTTCTTCCCTGATATAAAAAGTTATTTGTTTTAATTACTGTGTAAAATAATTGATCTGTCTAACCAACCCCACTCTTGATCCCTCATGCTTTTTTTTTACAGGGTCAACTTATCCTGGCCCTTAATTACAATTAATTTTTAATCTTTATTAGACATGTTTGTCGATTTCAGACCAAAAAATCCAGTGAATTTCTCTAATAATAGCTAGAATTTCACCCCAGGACTACATACCTTAAAGGGCTTTTTTCCTGTTTGCATTTGCGCTACTAATAATTAATGACATACCACATGTTTCAGTTTAAATGTGTTAAACTGTGTCACATCTTGGTAAACCCAACAGACACAATAAAGCTGCATCCTTGTTTAAGAAGTAAAGAACTTACTGTTTACCTTTATTTGTGTCAAAATGGTTAAGTCAGACTTAATTTAATTTCCATTAAGATCATTTTATCTTTACATTATAAATCACAACTCTACCTATTAATGTTTCTGCTCGTCCTTACTTGAATGTTTTGTTTGCGGGTGTCATTGTGGCGCATTCATAACATAAGCCATTTCTGTGTTTATCTTTGTCTGTTCTTTCTTGCCCATTTTGTTTTCTTGTGTTTCACTGAGATAGGTTTTAGATTCTCAGACAGAAATAAAAAAGCTAATTAAAATGTTGGTTAATCTTCCAAAGAGGGCTGTATTATATGCAGTAATAATAACATTAGTATAGTGTTTTACTGTTAGGACCTTAGCTGACTTGCTCTGTCAGTTCCAGCTCTCAGGCTGTATTTTCCTCATGTGTGCTACAAAAGGATCAAAATAGATTTGTATTCTTTCCATCACATATAGACTTAATAAAGCCTGGACACACTGGTCAAACAAATGTGCTATTATGTTTTTGGGTTGTTTTTGTTTTCATTAAGGTCTCTCAGGGACAAATTCCATTTAAAAAATTCAGAATAAAGTAGTTTAGTCCATGACAGTAGCAGTGTCATTAACACAAGCTGCCCAGTCATGTTTTCAGTGAAGAAAGAAGTAATAGAAGTCTATATCAAGTTTTTCTTCACATCTGTTTGTATGGCCTCCCTACAGGTCCAGATGCTGTTCAATAACGAGTTTCTGCCAGATCACATGACCATGAAGCGGTTATGGCTCTCACACTGGTTTGGCAAGGTACAGTGCACCCACTGTCAGCTAGCACAGATAAATGCCACACATTTCTTTACACCTGAACAATTCCTTTGTACTAGAATTCAGTTGGTAAATAAGGAGAAAGTTTTAAGATGTATAATAAAAAATTCCAGTCATAGCTTGAAAAATAACTGTTAAAACAATCTGTTTCAATTGAATAAAACACAGTCTGGAAGTAGTGGGATAGGTTTTGCGTTATCTGTGCAAGATGTGTATGGTTATGTATATCTCACTTTAAATACTGCAATATCTTTTCCCTTTAGGCCCAGCCATTAGTTCTTCACTACACCATCAAGGACAAAAGGAACAGATAGGACTTGTTTTTCAGTTGGACAAAAGCTGTACATATTTTGTACAATACATATTCTATTTTAATAGTGTTTGTGTACATATACTTATTTTCCTTGTTTTGTATTTTTGAAAATAAAATTTTAAATGGAAAAATGAGCTTGTGTTAATGACTGGGTAGATGTTTCCATCAGCATAAGGCCTGCATACGCAAAAGGTTCTCGGTGTCTAATTCATCATTTATTGTACACATCACCTGACAGGCTGAATGGAGGGTTGTGGACAGAATACAAAGAGATTGGTGCTCATTGCAGTTTTATTTAATATCTTGATGAAAGCTGCAATAAGTTATTCGGTACGTGTGAGTTATGATCCAGTTGGCAATGAAGAAAATCCACTCAGCAGTGGATTTTCTTTTCCCTGCGTACAAATCCATAATCATTAGTGAGGTTACGGCTGCAGTTGTGAAACCATATTATTTATGGGGGGGTTGGGGGTTTTTTTGGACGGGGGGGGGGTTGTCTGCCTTACTATTAAAACTTGTCAACAAATAGCTTAACTGCAGCCATGTGTTGGCACTGTGAGTGCAGTGTTTCGTTTAATTTCAAAATTGAACACAAATTATTTTCCTATGTTTACATTAAAAATATATAATCATTACTTGTTTTGCCATGAAGTTATTGGATGTTTTTCATGATTTTTTTTTTTTTTTTAGTTTAAGTTTTAAACTTTAAATGGCTACTAGCAAAATAAATGATGTGCAGAAGATATAAAGAGCAAATGTGAAAAACAAAATCAGATTCCTTAGCTTTTTCCCCCACTTTCATGATTAAAGTAAAATCTGTTTTGGCTGCAGATACAGCCCCAAATACGTCTGCCATGCTTTACACATCTGGACTATTTCCCCATCTTCCATGAGAAAACTGTTCATGCTTCTGCAGGTAGTTTATCTCTGAAATAAAACATCTTCTAAGTTTGTTTGCAGAGCGCAGCACATTTCACACTGGTTTTTGCATTTTCAGTTTTTCTGGGGCCTCTCACAGAAAAGTTGGGTGTATGATTGTTTCAAAGATCGTGTTTTTAATAGTCGCCCACGCCCCACAGCAGTAGTTTTTTTGTCGAGTCAGAAACCTGTGACTCCTAATATTAGGAAGTGTGAATATGCGTCTCCTATCTCAGACATGTAGCTGCTTCTGTGTTGACACAGACCACTTGGTTTCCTCTCTCACAGGCCTGCTCAGGCTAGATTTACAGCCATGCCATGTCTTTTCCATTTTTATAATTGACCTTACTGTAATCTGAGCGATATTCAGCGCCTTGGAAACAACTACTATCCCTCCCCTGCATGGTAGTTCTCTGTAAACATGTCAGTGTGTAGATTGCTCAGGATTATCCCTACATGCACATTTAAGCTCACTGCTTATGCAACTGTGTGTGTGTGTGTGTGTGTGTGTTTTCCAGTCATCCACATGAATTGTTTGCTTTTATTTACAAAGCAGGTCAGGAAAATTACGAAGTAATTCAGTAATATAAAAAGTCTGAACCTTAAAGTGTTTGTCCTCAAAGTCACTTAGTTACAGCTTTTTGTTGTTGTTGTTGTTTTTTCTTAGCAGTTAAACATTTCAACTCACAAGTTAGGATTCCTGCAATATACAGATTTTTAAAAATCACGAAATTTGTGGCGACGCATCCTGAGATTATATGGTCTCAAACAATCCCTGAAACCAGCAAAAGTTTTCATTAGGTCCTGCATACCTGATAAATGCCCCTATCTATGAAGCACCATGCTCCCACACTCTGTTACAAATCTGTGGTTCACATCCCAAACTGGAGAGATAAGTGCTTTAGAAAGTTCCCCCGTTTCAACCAAACTGCTGTTTTCAGAGTCACTGCAGCGCTTCTTATGGTGACCTTCATGTTGTTCAGTGAGTCCAGTGAATTTTCTCTTTGGAATAACAGAATGCAAAACCACCTTCCCCCCCCCCCCCTTCTTTCTATAACACATGGATATTTTTCCACATGGCTTTTGGGGAAAACTGAGGGAGTTTTATCTTTGCACTGAGTTTTATCTCTGTCACATTCTGTGGCTGTTTTGCCCTTCTTGCAAAGCGAATCCTCCCAGATGGGCACTAGATGGCACACTTGGTGCTTTTCAGTCATCGGACTAGCTTTGATGTGTGCGATCTTGTCCTGAGTGAAAGCAAAGTCTCTGATAACCTGACATGATCTGATAATACATACAAGCCTTCTGTCTCTACTCTTTCTAAGTACGCTGTGGTGTTGCTGCCAAACCATTTAAGCAACAGTTTGCTGGGCTGCTCGATGGGTTTCTTAAAGATCTTTTTTGGACATTTATATTAAGAAAAAAAATAACAGTAAATGTTTAACAGTTGTGTAATATTGCATAGATAACATCTAGGATATTTTTGTTCTGTGCTAGATGTGAACAGACATCAGTGTTCATGTGTCTTAAAGGGCAAAGGTTAGAAATAACTTTAGAGTTCATATTGAAGAAATCCTCGTCTTCATCAAGGGGAGAACAATTTTCCAAGTGTGGAGGTCAGTAAGCTGTAGTAAGGCAGCTGTTGAGTAAAGAATCACTGGAATTTCTCATGGTGGAGCTTGAGGGAAAAAAGTATTTTCCATGTTTTTTACATTAAGCTTGATAACATCTAAACGTTACTATTAAAAAAAAAAAAAAATCCCCCCCTCCCCAACAAACACACACACACGTGATTTTCCACCCTTGAGGATGTCTCTTCAGGGTACTCTTATGTTGCAAACAAAACGATAGTCTTCTAAAGCTGTGACCTTCACGCCAAAATATATGTTTCCAGTTCTCTGTTGGAGCTTTTAACCACATTACAGGTTGTCTCTGGGTTTTTTGGTCCTCTTTATACTAAATTATAAATGTGCATCTAAACGTGACCCAGTGACTTTGAAAGCCAAGTGCCTGCTGTCTCTTGATGCACGGGACCATCTGTGTTTTAAAGTCAATTTGAAGAAAAGAGTCAAATAGATGGTACACGTTATCATACAAAGAAAAACAGCTATTCATACAGCAATTCAATTAAACATGTTAATTATTATTTCTAAACCAAGTTTTAATTAATGAAATTGATACTTTGTACCAAAAAATAAAGGATTGTAGAGATTTATCTGATTAATAATTAAAGCGGTTGTTATAAGCTCAGTAAAAATCACAATGAATTGAAGTTTTCAAAAATGGGTGTTATTTATAAAGAAAATGTTGTAGCTTTATCAGGAGGTTAATCCTATTGGGAGCTTTATCCATTTTACACTGACTTTTATTTAAGGCTCCATCCCCTGCGTTGTTCCTGCTGCCAGAGTGTCTTTATAATAAAAGGCCTACTTGACTTTTCAACCTCCACGATTCCAGCCGATTACTTCTATTGTGTTTGCCAGTCTGCTGTGTTTATCTGCCCGCCCAAAAGAAGAGAAGAAAAAACTCGGTCCTAACAAGCCCTTTAGTTTTCCCTCAGTTTCACCTTTTTTTTTTTTTGATTGAAGTGAGTTTTTCTAATAACGGACAATTAAAAATAAAAGACAATTGTCTCAAATAAGAAAACATTTTTCAGTCTGTTCTTCTTAGCAATAAAATAAATAAATAAACGATGTGATACCTTTTACGTTTATTTTGTAAAATGTTTTATTCTTTCTAATTTAATTTGAAATGTTGTTAAATTCATTTTTATTTTCCTTATTTCATGGTCGACAAACTGAATGCGAATTATCCGATTTTTCTTCTGAAATATTAAGAGCATTTGAAATTAATTTCGGTTGAAAATCATACATTTGAATACGCTTATCTGATTAGGTTTCTAAATTGAAAAAAAAAATAACTCGAAAATATTTTAAAGGGAAGCAATTTTAAAAATCCTGCAGGACGGTTTTTATGTTGAACATAAGCTTAAGGGAAACTCAGTTTAAGATAAATTACGTTCTGTCATTATATAAACTACAACAGCAGCCATCTCCCCTCCCTCACTAACGCACATTCACCAAACTTTTGGTGTGGCTACAAAACTGTTGCAAATGGTCGGCTGGCAGCAGCAGCAGCACGTCGCATTTCCACTGCCTCCCATTGAGGTTTATTCATTAGGATCCTCACACTAACCCATTTGCCATTCATTGGTGCCTTCTTCTCCTTTTTTCCAAACAAACCCGAGTCAAGAGTGGCAGATGCGTGCCATTATTGCCCACGGCTCGGTGGAAGCTGTTTTATGCAAGGCAAAGGCGGGTTAACCTAATCAATCATGTCCACTAGTTGTGTTAAAGACGATTCATAGAAGGAGGAAGAAAACATATGGCGCAGGGGTGGAGGCAAGCTTTTCTTAACACCGCAGCCAGACCGGGACCTTCTTGCGACAAGATGTATTCAAAGCCGGTGGAAAGAATGGGAATAAAGGCGGTGGACGGCTGCTAATTGAAGTCATGGCACTTCAGGCTTGAAAGCAGAGGTCAATTATTCAGAAAGTCCCGTTTTTACCAAGCGAAGCAAATTTTAGGGTGAATGTTTTATGTGTCTTCTTAAACTCTCAAAAGCAAATCCAGAGGTCGTTTGAATTCTATTTAGTGCGTCTTTATGATAGAAGATTTCTTTATAGAAAACAGGGATTATGGCCCATTTTCCTCCCTCTAAAATGTAAAATCAAACCCCGTTTATTTCAGTTAACTCTCTGGTTTATTTTTTAAATTTGGGCTCATGTGCACAATCACACATCCAACAGCGCCGAAAGCTTCTTGAAATACCATATAACCTTTATTTACATAGATGCTGATTAAATAGAATGTTACAATAAAATTATCGCATAGGATGTTTGATCTATATACAGAATTCAGAGCGTGTAAAAGTTTGCAGTCGATAGCGATGGACGCCTTCTTTGCGCTGCGAATAGGCCTCCAAGCTTGCAGACACACCTTTCTCTCAGGACAAAAAAATAAGTCTACTCTTAAGGTAGGATGAACCTACAAGTTGGGGTTTATTTGCTTAAAAAATCATAGGGGGTGTGATTTAAATATTTGTCACGTCCGATTAATTTTATTAAAAAAGGCGAATAAATGGCAAAAAATAATTGCACAACTTTTCCACCCCCTTGAATCACGAAATAATAAAATGTATACTTAAAATGTTTAGTCTATACAATTATCAGTCTTCCTGTACCATAACAATTTGGTCTGTCTGAAAGAATAGCAGGGATTCCTCAGATTTTTTTGTGGTGAAACTTAAATGACAGACCCGGAAGGCTTTACAAGTTCCAATAATAAATTAACATGAAGACGAAAAGAAAAATGGGGGAGGAAAAACTTTCCCGAAATGTTTATATATGTGTGTATTCTCCTCTTGTCTATCATCCGTGCAAAAGTTTGGCAAGAAAAATGTCCCCTTTTGATATTTTGTTGTTGTTGCTGCTTATGAATCACAGACCCCCCTGACTGTCAATCGTCCACCTCGATTTCCTCGTCATCTTCCGAGAATTCATCCGTGGTTTGGTCTCTTGACGAGGAGGGGGACTGTGGGAAGGCCCGTTGTCCTTGAGAAGTCGGGGAGCAACTGGGCGATCTGGCCCCGGGGCCCCCACTCTGGGGGTCCTCAATGTTGTCCATGGTGACAAGCTTCTGCAGGGTCTGTGGGGTGATTTTCTTGAGCGACTCGACATCTGCTTTCATCTCCTCCAGATCCCTCTTGAGTTTAGCTCTGCGATTCTGAAACCAGGTGATGACCTGCGCGTTGGAGAGTCCCAACTGCTGCGCGATTTGGTCACGGTCGGCCGGAGAAAGGTACTTCTGGTACAAAAACCTCTTCTCCAATTCATAAATCTGGTGGTTCGTGAAGGCTGTCCGCGACTTTCTCCTCTTCTTAGACGTCTGCCTCTGTCCAAAAGCATTTACATGCTCACGACCTTGGATGAGTGGGAGAAGAAAAACAAGAGGGATGAAATAGCCGCAAGAGTCACTTACCCTCAAACTCCAACAGCAACAGAGGGCAGTGCAGAACAGGCCTGACCACGCTCTGCGGGCTTGCTTTTGACATTTTCCTTGTAGCAAACTATTTATCACACTTAATTTCTAATGACGACATTTAAATTTTACCCTGCAGAGTCAAGGTAACCACTGCTGCGATCATTTTGGAGTGGTTTAAATACTGTGTAAAAAAAAAAAAAGAAAGAAGTAAATTTGCACTGGAAATTAACCTTTCAATTCCCACCATATCATTAGCCAAGCAAAAAATAAGGGAGTTGACTAAGAATAGCTATGCTTACATATTTCTGCTGCAGGCCTACATCAGAAATCAGGATGTAAAATAACGTCAGTTGTAAAAAGAAAAAAAAATCTGTTTATTTAATCCAACGCAGCGCTGCATGCAGCAGGCCATAGTGCCTATTTGATGTTTTGACGACACGAGCATATTCAAAAGATTACCCACTTGCATCAGTTTATGTATGATATGCACGCATATTTGCATGCGTAAATGTTCCGTGTCCTTTTCCTTATCTTGAATTCTACACGCATTCCCATACAGCTGTCCTAGCATGTCTGTATTAAAAAGTCAAAACAAATCCAGCTAGCAGTGACCTTAGTTCTGAATCCCGCATTTACTGTACTTGTTCCCCTTAAAAACTAGTTTGAATGCTTATCCTGCCTTCCCGAAAATTCAAAATTGGGTCAAGAAAGTTTTTACCTTCCGCTGCCTGGATAACGCTGACTTCCAGACCCTTAAACGTTTTGCTGGCCAGCTCCTCCAGCGCGCACAGCGGCGAGGACGGAGTGGTGATCCCGTTCCTCGCTGAGTTGGAGCCCGTCACTTTCTCAAGCACTCTGGGCGGACAGATACTTGCGACCGACTTCTTCACGGAGGGTTTGTTAAGGATATCCTCAATACTGAAAGGCGTTAACGGTTTGTTGGAGTTGGCCGGCGGCGGCAGCTGGTCCAAGGGAGCCCGCCTCCTCTCCTCGCCGCCGGACTGCAACACAGAACCTGCTTTCATGTCTTTACTGGAGGTCATCGCAGTCCCGAAGAAGTGCTGCTTTCAGGAAAGTTGATTATTTCATTCAAATGGCAGATTTAAGCGTCCACAAGTTTAACTCTGGTGCTCTCGTAGACCTCCACAATATTTTGAAACGAATGCTGCAACTTAGCTCGTGTAAGAGCCTTCCTCCAAAATAACCATGCTTCGGGCGTAGTTGTAAAGGCAGCCGGACTATATTCCCTTCAGAGTCCCAGTTCCTCTGCCAAGTTCCATGTAGATCTTTTGGAAGTAACCGGCTGGAGGGGGTGAAACCCTGCAAGGCAAGAAAGCTTTCACAGGCAGAGAGAAAAAGAAAGCGACTGCTAACGAGTTATTGTTGATTGGGCGAAGTTCAATTAGAGAAACACTACACTACTTGCTGACCCGCTGCTGCGTCTTAAAGGGCCGGACCATAATAACTAATTGGACGTGGGGAATAGGAGGAGTCTGTTGCTGCCGAGGAGAAAGATGCCCTGAAATGTTTATGCATCTGTTTCCCTCTGCTGGAGTATTCTCCTAAAAAAGGGAGAGTTAATAGCCATTAGAATAGAGCCACCAGCATTTCTGCATTATTGAAAAGTCTGGAGGAAGAAAGAACCAGCAACAATCTCTTGCAGTCATGTGAATTTAGTCGTTCTGTCACTTTTGTGCGTAATTACGCATATAACGTTTTGCGTAATGTGTTATACAGACGCCTTGTTGGACTGAAATTTGAGTTAAAAATAGACACAATGAGCACATTGAGGGACTCGGTTATGGGATATATTAAAATGCAACAGAACCACGATAGAATATTTTTTGGATTTTTACTTTATTCATTATTTTTAACGACAGGAAATAAGGAATCTGAGAGTAAATATTGTCATTATATTTTAAAAATAAATGTAAAAATAGTAATGTGCTGAAGTCTCTGGGGAAAACACGTCTGCTACAAAATCTTTTCATTTTGTGGACAGATTCGAGGATGAAAGAACAGAGAAAGTCAGCTTCATTTCTGGACTCAGTTGTTTATTCGGTTTTGTCGATTAAGTTCTTTTGTTTCTCTTTGGTAATGCCACACGTGCTCCGGTATTTCCCTGCAGGTAAAACCCCGAGTTCCAGTGTAATTTAATGCTGTACCGTGAAACAAGCGAATAATAAAGGTGACGCCGTGCTGTGGCTCAGAGTCTGAGGACGGAGAATGTGAATTTCACTGAAGGAGGCTTAGGATGTAAAGAGAGAAAAGAGAGAGAAAGGAGGACGCGTGGGACGCGTGGGACGCATGGGAGAGCAGCAGGTACGTCTGATCAGAGGGACACACCTTGTTTTATTTAAGGTTCGGTGGTCTTTGTCACGATTTGGATGATATATTCGTTTAGATGAATTACATGAGACTTGTCGGCTGAATTAAATTAGCATTTTTCAGATATTAAGATACAGAATTGTGTATCTTACATTAAAACTATACCACCTTGAATCAAGCGCAACTTTAATGGGCACTTCTTTATGCAAAACGCAACAAAAGCTTCTCATGATAAATAAACAATGCAGACCATATTTTAGCAGTTGTATTAGAATTCGAGTACCACCTGCTGAAAGCGGCCGGGGGCTGAATATTACAAACGCTGGAGAAACATTTTTACAATACAGTCATATTTTTTGTGACCCCACTGGGTAAAGCCTGCCGCCCAGGAAGCCACTGCGGAGAATCTTGTGCCAACAGGAGCATATGGTGACATTGGTTTAGGGACAGAGCTATAAAACAGCAGGAAATTCTATTATCTGCCTTGGAGGTCCACCCTTTGTGACTGCTTTGAATACATATTTCTCCATAACGAGCAGGAGTTGGTGGGGATAAATTCAGTTAGGGAATTTGGACAGAAATGTGCACGGTTTTGGAGAAAGTGCTGGTACCTGAAAATATATTAATATCACAAAGAAGGCGATTTAACCTGACACTTCAGACTTGAATTCAAAATTAGGTTGAAATTTAAGGAAGTTAGAAGCTAATCTTGTTTTATTTTGCTGTGCAAAAAAGAAAAAGAAAAAAGGTTTGATTTTATAGACATGGGCGAGTACTTTTAAATATATATTTTGTCTTAGCAAAACTCTCTTTACATTTTTAATATTCAAAATCATTTAAAAACATCTGGGCATTGTATCATATTTATTAGTCATATCATCTATCAAACATAGTTATAAAAGGGGCAAAAAATCCTCTACTTGAGGTGTAGTTATATGCTCTTCACAAAGATGGACCTCCTCTGAGCTCCGCTCAGATCCGGACTTCTGTACATGATTAACCTTAAATTGGGTTTAAGCCTAAATAACCCTGAGACCTTTCTACTATTGGTTCAGTTGGCTTTCAGTTCTCAAGTGAAGTTGGTCCGAAACATATTCCCCTCCTCTGGCTTAATTTAAACGTTAATTAGAAGCAGAACAGCTGACACCATCAATCATCAGCTCTTGAGGGATTTAATTGGATGATTCGCTTCGATTTTTGCCTCCTAGGTTATCGCTCTCCAAAATATTGCGCGTTAAATGCTTTAAAAAAAATCCTTTAAGAAGCTTCTTTTTGTGAGGAGCTGTTTATTGAATGGTAGTACTGCGTCACATTTCGTTTTTTCTTCTTATCTTTAGGAATCACAGATCTACTATCAGAAGGGCCAAGCGTGTTTGTGTCACCCATTAACTCAATAAATTCAAAGCAGTGTGAGAACTCCCTCCCGGTAAAGGCCAACCTTTCTGTCATTAATCACCAAATTAATTCACTGCGGTCCAGGGCGAATATCAGGGGATGCAATTCAGGCTCCACTGGAGACTCAAAGAAGGCGATGACAAATGCAACAACTGCAAAAAATAATAGCGACAATGTAATTTGTTACAGTGCTGTAACGCGTTACCGACAATCTTTTCTCCCCTTGCAAGAGGCCGTGCATCTTCACCGCTGCAACTCAGGTGTTTCACAAAAGGAATAAAAAAAAAAGTCTCGAAGCAAAGGATAAATATGAATGCACTTCTTTCGATTTCGACAACGCTGTTAATTATGGAGTAAAGCACATTTTGCTCATTCTAGAATTAAATAATAAACATTTACAGGAAAAAATAATTTTGAAGTAGATATTCACGTTTAACATGCACAGGTTCCATAGACACGTTTGTTTCTTTATTGCATTCTAATTAAAATATTTTTAAAATAAAAAATTATTATCGTTAAGTTAATTTTGTTAACTATCAAACTAATAATTTTAAAACGGTTTATGCCCACTCCACTAATCCACAGAAATGTTTATAAAATATATTTTTATTGTTGATAAAAATAACAACTTAGTTTAATGTCACTATAAACACTATAAACACAGAACCAAACAGACACTTTAAACCCATTCTGATGTTTTCAAGGTCACTGTCGATAACTGAGGTAAATCTGTCCCTTGAAGAAATTAAAATACTAATAATTTCTATTTGCAAAGGCCGTGGAGGCTTTAATGTTGTCGTAAAGAGGCAGCTCTTACAGCGCAGCATGTCGTCCTGTACAAAACAGCTGTAAACGCCTCTCAGTATAACATGATACAGGAGAAGGCTGCTCGGGGCGCTGTGGGTGTGTTTGTTTCCATTCTTAACTGGACTGTTTCCACTGTAAAACACACTGTGCGGCTGACTGAAAAGCCTGATGAAGGCGCGTGTTGATGAGGCTCCACGTTACGTCGGTGTGATACCAAATTAAGTGGATCATGTGTGGCACCTTTTATAGATTCAGTTTTCTGCCACCCACAGCCATACTAATAGCTTCTGGTCAGAAAGGAAAATATCTTCGTTGGCTGTTTTAAACGATGCGTGGGCAGAAGGCAAAATAATAAAAACACCAAATGCAGATGGATAATAATGAATTATTATTTGGGGACCATAAATTTGACCATAAAGGGTTAGAATTTATTTTTTTATTTTTTTAATTATTAGTTTTTCCTTATTTTTATTTGCGTAGTGGCGATGGTGTCGTGCACCTGCCTCGCTCTCGCCCTCGCCCAAAACATCAAGTATCAGGCCAACTCGTGGGTGACGGTGTTGTTATGGTGTCAGTGCAGGAGTGTCTTCTTTCTAAGCTGTCCTTGAACGCACCGTTACGGTCTGACAACTCAATCGACAGCGGAGACGCACAGGTGTTCACCTTCACAGCAGCTTCACGCTGTTTGGAAGTGACGCGTCCTTTTGCGCTGTGACGTTGTCAGTTCTCATTGGTCAGCAGTCTCAATCCAACACCATACATTAAAGCTTTTATCCTAAGGGTTGTGTCTTAATATATTATTTTGAAAGCTGTTGGTTGTATTTCTGAAGAGAGACATTGGAACAATAACTGGTGACAGAGCAGTTTTGACTCTTATGATTAGAATCAGTCTGCAGGTAACAGTTTGTACACAATGAAGCACCTACTGCTGGCAGATTTTAGATCATTGTATTGGTTTCATGACTTCTTTGCTAGCTTTAAACATTTTCAACAGTAATTTTGCTTCAAACTTTTTGATATTATTGCCTTAAACTTCTCCTACTTATGCCACCTGGCAAAGATGATGAAAATAATTACTGTTTTCATCATCATTTATTCAATTTTCTTTTTTTCATGATTTGCTTTTGAAATGTCACAAACATAATTTAATATTAATATTTAATGGTAAATGGTAAATGGCCTGCATTTGTATAGCGCTTTTCTAGTCCTTATGGACCCCAAAGCGCTTTACACTACATTCAGTCATTCACCCATTCACACACACATTCACACACTGGTGATGGCAAGCTATACATTGTAGCCACAGCTGCTTTAATAACTATAATATTATTATAATTCCCCAAAACAAAAACAAAATTCTTATTTTGACCAGAACATACCTATCCAAGTAGAAAATGTTTGCCCCTTTTTCTTCAAAAGTAGTTGAAGTATGCAATAAATGCGATAAATTATCGTGGGAACAACTTCTGAATTGTCAGGTGGCCCAGACATCAAGCTCAGGTAGAATAAAATTAGAACATCCTTTTAAATTAAACATAATAAATTCCAGTAATCTCTAACTGGTAACATTAATGGGTAATAACTGAGTCACAGAAAGCGTGAACAAGATACTGCTGTTATTGCAATGATTGATGAAGAGATCACAGTCCTCACATCATGAACATAAAATACCTGCTTCCATCATAGATGGATTGAGTGATTGAAGTGAGTTTCTGCTGAGCATGTTGTGTTGATCTACCATCAACAAGTCACCTCCTGTGACTGTTATGCATTATATGGTAGCATCACTGACATTCCCTGCAAGGCTGCTGAGATTTTCAAATAAACATAAGCATTTCCAAGCTCTCCAACACATTTAACCACAAAGCTACTTCATGGCCTGAGCCCGCCGCCCCCCTCTCCACCCCCAACTCTCTCATGGGAGTTGACTG